TGTGAACCGCCAGGTCAGCAGTTCGAAACTACCAGCTGTTCCGTGGGAGAAAGATGAGGCTTTCTGCTCCCGTTAAGATTTACAGCCTCGGAAACCCTGTACAGGGTCGCTATGAGTCGGAACTGACTCCATGGCACATAACAACAACAACAACAACATCTATGGAAAGAGACAGTGGAAAAGCTCCGTATCATCAACCAAAACAAGGGCAGAGGAAGACTGTGGAATAGGCTGCCAATTGCTCATATGCAAGTTGAAGAAAATGAAAACAAGTCCACAAGAGCCAAAATAAGATCTTAAACATAACCCACCTGAATTTAGAGATCATATCAAGAACACATTTGATACATTAGACACCAATGACCGGAGACCAGAAGAGTTAGGGGATGACATCAAGAACATCATATAGGAAGAAAGCAAAAGGTCATTAAGAAGACAAGAAAGGAGGAAAATACCAAAATGATATCAGAAGAGACTCTGAAACTTGCTCTCCAGCATAGAGATGCTAAAGCAAATGGAAGAAATGAGGAGGTACAAGTGTTGAACAGAAAATTTCAAAGGGCAGCTTGAGAAGACAAAGTCAAATACTAAAATGTAATGGAAAAAGATCAGGAGTTAGAAAACCAAAAGGGAAGAACATGCTCAGAATTTTTCAAGCTGGGGGAACTAAAGAAAAATTCAAGCCTTGACTTGAAATATTGAAAGATTCTATGGGCAAAATATTGAATGATGTAGAAAGTGTCAAAAGAAGATGGAAGGAATATACAGAGTTGCTGTACCAAAAAGAAATCGTAGCATATGATCAAAGTCAATGATACTGCAGGAAGAAGTCCAAGGTGCACTGAAGGCATTGGCAAAGAATAAGGCTCTGGGAATTGATGGAATACTAATTGACATCTTTCAACAAACTGATACAGTACTGGAAGCACTCACTCATCTATGTCAAGAAATTTGGAAGACAGCTACCTGGTCAGAGATCCATATTTGTGCTCATTCCAAAGACAGGTGACCCAATGGAATGTGGAAATCACTAGACAATATCATTAATAGCCCATGCAGGTTAAATTTTGCTAAAGATAATTTTTAAATGGCTGCATGAGTACATTGACAGGGAATTTCAAGTCAGAGTACATGCAAGTTGGAGTCAGATGAGGACGTGGGATGAGGGATATCATTATTGGTGTCAAATGGATCTTGGCTGAAAGCAGAGAATACCAGAAAGATATTTACCTGTGCTTTATTGAGTACACAAAGACTTTCAGTTGTGTGGATCGTGACAACCTATGGACAATATTGCGAAGTATGAGTATTCCAGAACACTTATTTGTGCTCATAAGGAATTTATACATAGACTAAGAGGCAGTGGTTCGAACAGAACAAGGAGACACTGAATGGCTTAAAATTAGTAAAGGTGTGCCCCAGGTTGTATTCTTTCACCGTATTTATCCAATATGTATGCTGAGCAAATAATCCAAGAAGATGGATTATATGAAGAAGAACGTGGCATCAGGATTGGAGGAAGACTCACTAACAATCTGTGATATGCAGATTATGCAGTCTTGCTTGTTGAAAGTGAAGAGGACTTAAAATACTGATGAAAATCAAAGACCACAGCCATGGGTATGGGGTACACCTCAATTTAAAGAAAACAAAAATCCTCACCACTGGATCAATAAACAATATTCATATAAATGGAGACAAGATTGGAGTTGTTAAAGACTTCATTTTGCTCAGATCAACATCAACACTCATGGAAGCAGCAGTCATGAAATCAAACAACGTATTGGTAAATCTGCTGCACAAGACCTTTTTAAAGTGTTGAAGAGCAAAGATGTCAGTTTGAGGTCTAAGGTGCATCTGATCCAAGCCATGGTATTTTCAAAAGCCTCATATGCATATGAAAGTTGGACAAAGAAAAGGGAAGACTATAGAAGAAGTGATCCATTTGAGTTATAGTGTTGGAAAAATAAAAATACCATGGACTGCCAGAAGAGCAAACAAATCTGTGTTGGAAGAAATATACCCACAATGCTCCTTATGAGGCAGGGTGGCCAGACTTCATCTCTTATACTTTGAACACATATCTGAAGAGACCAGTTTCTGGATAAGGACATCAAGCTTAGTAAAGTGGAGGGTCAGCGAAAAAGAGGAAGGCCCCCAATGAGATGGATTGGCACAGTGGCAGCAGCAATGGGCGCAAGCATAGCAATGATTGTGAGCCTGGTGCAGGACTGGGCAGTGGTTTTTTCTGTTGTGCATAAGGTCGCTATGAATTGGTACTGACAAGAAGGCACCTAAGAAAATTAACAGTTGTGTAATCTGGATATTTTATAAACAAAATCATTGTTTGTTGTACACTGTTGTTAAGTGCTGCCGCTTTAGTTCAACTCATAACTACCCTATTTTGTGTTTAATCCTGTTTTATACTTCATATAAGGAGCCCTGGTAATGTAATGGATTATGAGCAGGGATGCTAACCACAGGTTAGCAGTTCAAATCTACCAGTTGTTCTGTGGGAGAAAGATGAAGCTATCTGCTCCTGCAGGTTTGCAGCCTAGAAAACCCTACACAGGGTTGCTATGAGTAGGAACTGACACTGTGACTAAACCACCACCACATTTCATATAATGCACAGAGCTTTCTTCTTCTTTTTCTAGCTTCTTTACCATAAAAGTTTCTCTGTGCCTTGATCCATCCATGAAATAGGGCCTCTCATAGGGGACAGTACAAATGTCCTCTGGTAGCCATTTCTGGGTTATAGATGTAACTGCTAAGAAAGTAACTGGAGTAAACTGGGTATATTAATCACGTGAAAAGTCATGAAAAACCTACTATACTTAAAACATCTGAGAACGTGTAAATTGTGATCCATGAAAACATAGGCTGTTTCCTATGTGGATGAATGTGGTCCAAAGAAATAAGATGATACCAAAGGTCTCTTATCTGCTCAAGATGTGTGTATACTCTGCTCTTCCTAAGGCCGAAGTTTTCGACTCGAGCTTTCTAGTTTCTGATTCTTTCCTCTTAGTCCATAAGCAGCTACGTGTCCTCCTACCTCACCACACATAAACCAACTTGGGCTATGATATGTCTGATCAGCATCAGTCTTTTCTTCCTCTATTGAATGGCTAATAAATGGTTTGACGATGCTTCTGCTTATAATCTTAAATCCTTTTGTTCACCGGTCAGTCACTGTTTAAAGTTTGTGTCTTTTGGTTGCCTCACACGGCCTGTGCGTTAATAGATTCACAATATGCTTGGCTTTGGTATCTGGGAAGTGAAGACTTTCACCGGATAGCAACGTGTTGTTTTGTCACTTGATGGTCTCCCAGATGGCTAGAATGTATTTCTTTTCGTATTATCCAGAATAGCAGTCTCCAAATTTTTTTTGATAATGCCCCCCTACCAGTACGATTATTTTAGCCCAATCTTCCATATATAAAGTATATAAACATATTTTCTTCATTAGCTAAAGCGCCATCACGCAGTTCAAGATACCAAAAAAATCCAAACCAACCCCCCCTGCCCCTGAGTTGATTCTGACTTCCGGCAACCTTCTAGGACAGAGGAGGACTGCCCAGAGTTGTTTGTAAGGTTGTAAGTCTTTCCGGAAACAGCTTTCTCTCACAGAGAGGCTGCTGGGTTTGAACTGTAGACCTTTTGGTTAGCAGTTGAGTGCTTTAATGACCAGGCCATTGGTGGTGGTGTGCTGTGGAGTCGGTTCTGACTCATGGTGACCCTGAATAGGTTTTTGAGGCTGTAATTCTTTACCAGAGCAGAAAGCCTCATCTTCCTCCTGTGGAATAGCTGGTAGTTTCGAACCACTGACCTTGAGGTTAGCAGCCTGACTTGTAACCACTACACTATCAGAGCTCCTTGACCATGCCACTAGGACTCATTGTCGTTAATGATAAAACCTTAAATCCAACCCACTGCCATCAATCGATTTTTATTCATAGTGACCGTTTGCCAGGCTGTAAATCTTTACAGGAAGACAGCTTCATCTTACTTCCATAATACCACCAGGGCATTATGGGATATTGAATATTTTTCTTCTGGGCATGAGAAGCTTGCACTTGTTCGTGAAGATACCACCTGTGCCATTATGGACCAATTGACCGTTGACCTATGAACTAAAGTGCAGGGCCACTTGTTCTGTATATAAATTATCGTTGTCAGGTGCCATTGAATCAGTTCTGACTCATAGCAGTGCTATAAAGTGTTTCTAAGAAATGAGTTGTGGTGTTGGAGGAGAATACTGAAAGTGCCATGGACTGCCAAAAGAAGCAATAGATCTGTTTTGGAAGAAGTGCAGCCAGAGTGCTCCTTGGAGGCCAAGATGGTTAGGCTTCGTCTCTCATACTTTGGACACATTGTGTGGAGAGGTCACTGGTGAAGGATGTCATCAAGACCCCCAACAAGATGGATCAGCCAGGTGGCATCATTGATGGCGTCAAGTGTGGTGGCGGTAGTGAGGTTGGCCCAGGATCGGATATTGCTTTGTTCTGTTGTGCATGGGGTCGCTATGAGTCAGTTCTGACTCGATGGCACCAAACAACAACAACAACAAGAAGTGACTGGTGGACTTGAACTGCTGACCTTGCAGTTCAAAGAAATAATATGACCCCAAGCTTAATGTCTTTCTTTTTAGGTTACAATGAATACATTTGAATTATGGTGTTGGTGAAGGATACTGAAAGTTCCATGGACTGCCAGAAGAAGGAACAAATGTGTGTTGGAAGAAGTCAGAATTCTCCTTAGAAGTGAGGACAAGATTTTATCTCGTGTACTTTGGACATGTTCTCAGGAGGGACCAGTCCCTGGAAAAAGACATCATGCTTGGTAAAGTGGAGGGGCAGGGCAGCGAACAAGAGGAGGACTCTCAATGAGACAGATGGACACAGTGACTAAAATCACAGGGTCAAACAATTGTGAAGATGACAAAGGACTGAGTAGGGCTTTGTTCTGTTATCTGCATCCCAGATGAATTGTCTTGCACGATGCCTGGAGTGCACACACCTTATGGGATGAATGGATTTCCTTTAGAGACCACTGGTCCACAGGACAATCTCTCAAACAGGTAAGGATATTTCCATTTTAAAAAACCTGTGCATTCCACAGGAGCTCTGGGGGTGTATTGGCCAAGGGCTCCATTACTAACCAAAAGGTTGGTAGGTTTGAATCCATCCGCCACTCAGCAAGAGTCTGATTCTGTACTGATTTACAGCCATGGATGCCCTATGGGGCAATTCTATACTGCCTTTAGAGTCCCTAGGTGTCAGAAGTGACTTAATGACAACGTGTTTGATTTTGGTTCATCTCAGCTACTCAGTCATTTTACAGAAGTGAAATGATTTTGAAATGAATTGTCTTTATAGAGATCCATAATTTGCAAGCAAAGTCTTCACTCCACTAAATGTGAAATGTTCTAAGCAACAGCTGTGAGCATTTCAAACGTGCACTACTCTTTAACAGCTCAACTGTTGCCAAGGGAAATTGAGTTGGCTTCAAAATCTTCCCTGGTTTTAATTCTGTTCTTACTCGGAGTGAGGAAACACTAAACTTTCATAAAGAATTTAACAGGGAATTGAGAAATGGAAATAGATGTTTCTTGATGGTAGGGGCTAGACTGTTACAGTTTTCTTCGAGACAGTGCTCAGCTACTAACCACAAAGTTGGAAGTTCGAGTCTACCCAGAGGTTCCTTAAAAGAAAGGTCTGGTAATCAACTTTGGAAAATATTCAGCCACTGAATATCCTAGAGACCACAATTCTACTCTGACATACATGCAGTCATCTTGAATTAGCAACTGGTTTGCTTTTTAGAGGTTATGAAATTTGTTATTGTTAAGTACCATCGAATCAGTTGCAAATCATAGCGATCCTGTATAGGGTTTCCAAGGAGTGGCTGGTGAGTTTGAATCAGACCTTGTGGTCCAGTGCTTTATTCTACAGTGCCACATATTTATAAAGTGGCCAATCTTTTGGAATCATTAAGGGAAGCTGCAACGCTGTAGGATCAGCACTGGATTGTGAACCACAAGTTCAACAGTTCAAAGCTACCAGCTGCTCCTTGGAAACCCTATACAGGCTCATTATGAGTCAAACCAGTTCAACAGTAACAATTTTCATCTACAAGAGCCATCTTTCTTTCCTGCTTTAGTTCAATGCTCGAATATTTTTCTTTCCTGGCACAAAATTATTACCGTGAGTATACACAGAAATTTGCCAGAATTGTTAAGTAACACAAACAAGAAATACATTTTTGTCCAATATGCATGAGTCCTGGTGTGTTGCTGTAGGATAAGCACTGGACTGCTAACCACAAGGTTGATAGTTCAAACCCACCAGCTGTTCCATGGAAACCCTATGTAGGGTGGCTGTGAGTCGGAATCGACTCCATGGCACTTAACAACAACCGTATGATGTTGTTGTTTGTCACTGAGTCGGTTCCGGCTCACAGAGATCCTGTATAGGGTTTCTGGGGTTATAAATGTCTATGGGAGCAGAAAGGCTCATCTTTCTTCCTTCTCTTATTCCCCACGCCCCTGGGTACCCCTACCAGCCCTGGCTCCAATGACTGGTGGATTCGAACTGCCAACCTTCTGGTTGACAGCTCAGCATGTAACCCACTACAATATGCTGAAATACAAATACAGAATGACACACACATACAATATATTATTATAAAAAGAAGAAGAATATTTGAAGTATACCAAAATACAGTGGTTATCTCTGGGTTGAGAGATTAAACTTTTTCCTTTTGAACAATTTGTACTCTAATGTTTTTAATTATAGTTTCTTCCCTCCCCCCACCCCCTAAAAAAAAAAAAAAATGTACACAGCATGTACTCAAATGGAGTAACAGCCTGAGAGCATTCTCTGGAAAACCTGGCTATTTGGCTTAGGATGCAAACACATCTGCATTTTATCACTTGATTTAGCTAAAGTTAAGTGAAGTTCCTTCATAAACTCTTTCGGATACACGTTGCCAATTAAAATCATGCAAGTGCCTTGTTTGGAGTTGGGTCTCCTCGAGTTAGGCATGAATAAGTATCACAGAGTTTACAGACAGCGCCCCCGATTTCAAAGCAACAGGAGCGCTAGCTACAAGGCTTGCAGGAGGCTCCAAGGAGCTGATATTCAAATAGAGGTTTTGGGAAAGATAGGTGCATTGCATGCATTACTCAACCCTTGGCCAGGGCACAAGGGTTCAGATTTTCGTGCCAGGCCTCCCACAAGATCCAGCGGACTGCTGGGGGTGTTTCACAGCGGCTGCAGGGCTCCATTTACACAAAAGTAAGGGCGCACGGTGCGCAGGCATCTTATTTCTTTTCCATCCTGAGTGGAACTCCCCGAGTTCCAAGGGGTCACGTTGGCCGGTGAAGAGGGCGGTATCAAGGCCCAGGGGGCTCCTCCACCTTTTTCCCGACACTTGCTCTCGGAATCCTCTGGCTGAAGACGATAGCTATCCAAACGCTGCGCACTACGCGGAAACCTAGCCCACTGATGTGCTAGTCACACACCTCCAGGGTTTAAGGAGCGTCCCTCAGGCCTAGCCGCTTCTGCAACTACCCACTTCAGTCTACCGCCTGGCGGAAACAGCAGCAGCGCAGCCGGCGGTCGCGGCTTCATCCGGGTCCCTAAAGCCTCGGCCCAATCCTCGGCCTCCACTCTTCCCACCTTCCCGACCCTCCGCGCTCCCCCCACCGCCGCCAATCCCTGATCAGTTTTCAGCCGAACTTGCTGGCATGGGAGTGAAGGCAGATCCTGGCCAATGAGGACTGGTTTCCCGTTTGAAGCCTCCAGTGGGAGGGCGCCGAAGGCGGGCCCTGATGCTCAGAAAGTTTGGTTGCGCGTGTGCCATGGACTCAGCCGCCCGGTGATATTGACAATAGGAGAGAGAAAGGGGCATTGACTGGGACCCACCGCGGGTACCGAACGGTGGCTCTGGCAGCGGTGGCTCCAGCTCCAGCGACTCCTCCTTCTTCTTTTTCCTCCTCCTCCTGCTGCCGCTGCAGATCCAGTCTTCCTCTCTCCCTTCCCCCCTTTCCCACGTCGTCGCCGCCGCCGGGTCCGGGGCAACGAGCAGAGGCGCCGCCCGCCGGGAATGTGAGCGAGGAGTCGCCGGCGGAGCCGCAACGGGGTCGGTGCCGATTTGATGGGACGGGTCCGCGGGGGAGGATCGTGAGGCTGCCGCCAGAGAGCTGAGGTTCTGGTCCGGCCGTGAGGCCTAGAGGCGCCGCCGCCGCGGAACCGGAGGGACGCCGCGCCGGACAGCCGTCGCCCCGGGCTCCCTGCCGCTGCCTCGACCTCCCCCTGCACGGCCCGGCCCTACTGCTCGCCCCCGCTGCGGTCCCTTCGCCCGGCTCCCGCCTCTCGAAACCACAGATCATCTTCGGATTCTTCCCCAGAAGCTTCAAGGTAACTTCGTCCCTCCAGCACCGCGGCTCGCCGGCTTCCTTTCCTACTCCCCAACCTCCTGTGCAACCTGAGAGGCACCGGCCCCTGGAAGAAGGCCTGGCCCGGGCGAGCTAGGGGTGCGGTGGGGTGGAGTGTGGGAGACAGAGAGTCCGTGCCACTTGTCTGATTTACCTGGAAGTGTTTCTGATGCCTCCCGATTCACTCCATCCTCACCCTCGCCTTTCTCCACCTTCCAGGATTGGATTCTAGTCCCCGTTTCTACACTCTCCGTGGCCGGGGAGAAAGCGGGACTTGGTGTAGTGAGGAGGATTTTGTAGCAGTTTATCTTCTGTAGGGTTTGAGGTGGAGGGTGGCAGCAAAGGGATATGTAAGCATATCTAAAGACAAATCTCTATCCTGTCTTTTTCCTGGCCCCACCATCTTTCCCCCCATTGGATTCTACTGGGCCTAGTAAATGCCCCGTGCCCACTGCTTAGAGGATGATATAGCTTCGGGAACCTGGTTCGGGGCGAAACCTGTTTCCTTCCCGTGGTTTTGCACAGACCGGCTGCTATACTGCACGTAAAGCTCTGCAGCGCCCTAGGGTTGAGATCCTTGACGTTTATTTTGGGCCGCTGGCATAGGGGCATACGATTTAAAACATTTTCTTTCTTTTTTTTTTTTTTAATGGTCTTAAAAGATGGAATAATAAAGAATATACACAAAAGAGTGATGGAGGAACAGGATTTACTGAAACCTTATGTTCTTAGAGTGAGAATGGAATCCAAATAATTCACATGCCAGATTGGAGAAGCGGCTCCAAAATTTCCAATACAGAAATGTGATGAGCTTCTCACTAATACAGTCATAATGAAATTTTAAAGTGATCTTACATTTTGTATATCCATTCATAGTTTGCAATTTTCTTTTGGGTATGTGATATTATACGTAAGGCTAAATTAGGTAGATTTTCAGCAAAGTTTTTTCTTTTTTTAATGGAACCAAACAAGATTCAAAACCCAAACCTCAGCATTGTTTATGCTTTTATTTTCACTGTCAGAATCTAGTTATTGCAAGTAACTTTTCACTTTTACATGTTCAGGAAGAACTTCTTTCCTCTTATATTTGGATGTTTTTAAAAAGTTGTTTTATGTATTGGGAGGACAGGTGAGTAATTGCATTTCAGCATTTCCCCCATATAAATGATTTCTATCAGAGTCTGTCATTAATCTTGAACAGAGCCGGGGTACCATGGAAATGATGGCACCTGTTTAAATTGGTGAATGAAATTGTTCTTCAGGCTTGTCACTTACAGGAAATAACCTTCATTTCAATCATTTATTTGAGTGGGTTAAAAATCCAAAAGAACTGTCCAGTTCAGTGGAATGAAACTTGGTGTTTGATGATAAACTTAAGGGTCTAAACCTCAAGGGTGCTCAACTTGGCTGTCTAAATAGTCTGTGAATTTATGTTTTCAGTTCAACTTGGCCACGATTTCATCATAGTTTTATTTATTAAGCTTTAATAACTTAAGATGGCTTCATTCAAAAAGAAGACTTCTTTGAAATGGTTTTAATTATGCCTTTTAATGTTGTGTTTAAAGTAATCGAGCCTGTCCTCATTTTGCAGTGTGGTGCAGTTTATCACAGCTAACAGCACTGCATTAAAAGTTGTGCCTAGATAGTTTCAGTAATTACAAATTTCACTTTGCTGTGATGCTGCATTGGTGTTGACTCTTGAAGTGCAATTAAGATTTTCAATTCCAGTGCCCATTCATAATATTAAATATCTTAGGAAGACGTATCAATGGAAGTTTTCCAGCTTCAGAATAGCTCCAAAAATATTTCAGAAATCGCAAGATAAGAAGAGCTTTGCAGTTAGAAATAAAGGGACTAAGAGGAGTTTTTCAAGTGTAACTGAACATTTTTAATGCTTAGTAATAGGAGTACCACAATATGTTAGAATTATGATATTGCTTACTTGGTAGTTCTGATCTTTTATTTTGTACCAAATTTTCATGTTTTTCCCAATGATATATGTCTTTCCTCATTTTAGTTATTCATTTTCATGAATAGTGAGTGTGGGAATTTGAGAATTTGTCTAAATTACATGTATCCTTCTTTGGGAATGTGTTTATGATACACCTTTCTCTTCAGTAGGGCTATGTCCTCAGCACCAACTACTCCTCCATCAGTGGATAAAGTAGACGGATTTTCTCGGAAGTCCGTCAGAAAAGCCAGACAGAAGAGGTCGCAAAGTTCCTCACAGTTTAGGTCTCAAGGCAAACCTATTGAGTTAACACCTTTGCCGCTGCTAAAAGGTAAGGCTTATGACCAGGTGATGGATTTCCTTATCAGTTACTCTCTCTTTATATAATTTCCTTTTTTGCAGAATTTCATATCTGCTAAAGTACTGTGTTGCAAACTGAGTGTATGGGAGGCGTTTGAGGCATTGAAGTGATTGGTTATGTGACCAGATATCTACTCTTCTTTTTTAAAAACTCGATTTTATCTAAGTAGTGATGGACAAGTGAACTTATCAATGCTAGAAAATCTGTAAGATGCCTGGGCCTGTGTTCTTCATTTTTTCTGTTGACATTTAAGTGGACACATCATATTCAATGACAGCTCTGCATTGTACAGTCTTAGAGGAATCAGACTAGTAGAGGAGAGGGAGAGGATACCATAACCTACATAGAGAAATGGTGTTTGAAAGAATTCATTTAAAAAAATTTTTTTAAATTTATTTTAATAAATGTTTTATTGTGAATTGTGTGATAATTTACATGGGAGAACATTAGTTTTACATTCATTCTATCATACATCATTTCACTGCCATAGTTACAATCCTGTCCATGCATCATCACCCAACCAAAGGGTATATACCCTGCAAGCCTGCCCGCCCCCCACCCACACGGTCCTCCGCACACAACCCCTTTCCCTCTCTGGATCTCAAGTCCCCAGCCACTCCATCTCTTCACGTCATCTTCTCTGCCTCCATCTCAGGCCTCACTGCTTCTCTGGGTACGGTCCCGCTCTCCGCTCTTCTCCATTGATGGTCCCAGGGCCCTCCGCTCCTAGACTGAAAACTTATTCCCTCCCTTCCTTGCTATAAAATGTCTACCTTTACATTTCCAACCCTCACAATCAGTCCTGATAACAATTATTTACTATTGCATCACAAGAGACCCATCGCATTTCATTTCATCAGCCCTTCCTGGACAGGCTGGATACTATTCACTGGAGAGTCTACCATCCTCCACGCCCTTTGGATTTAGGTTCCCTCTCGAAAGCTTGTAAGCCAGTCACTTCTTACCTTTGTATCCCTCCCCCCATTTTGGGTAGCCAATGTCCTAGTTGTCCATCCCTGTCCACTCTTTGTGTGGAGGAGGTGGGAATAAGAAAGAATTCATTTTTAAAAACCAAGAAAAAAATGATCAGTTTGTAACTGATTGCATGCATTCTTCGTTTCTGCTAGGGCAAATAAAAAGAAAAATGATAATTTTACTTGTCTAACACTTCTTTTCTTTTGAGTGCATTATGGACACACTTTTAATGTTATCTTTTGAGAACTTTTTTGTTTTTTTCAACTAGTCCATTTAACTGTGGTTTGGGTGTGTGTATACTTTTTGTCCCTTTCGTTTTCTTCAACGAGAGCACTTCAGAAAGTTTGTGGAAAAAGTTCATTACCTTTTAATTCAGTTTTTTTCATGAACCTTTTGACGTCTCCTTGTTTGAAATGTGTCAGAACACAGCCTTTATATTGCACAAGTTATAAAACCATCTACCTTTTAAGGTGGATTTTTGCCTGTTGTGTACTTATAGTATACAACACAGTGTACTGTAATGGCTGGGAGGAAATTGGACAACTTGGCTTGCTGTTTAGTTAATGCATATGTATTTGTGTAACAATTTTGTGAATTCATAAGGTATTAATTACAAGAAGAACTGGAGTTTGATTGGAAAAGGTCCTCAAAATTTAGTCTAGCATATTTCAAGCTTCTATTTTTATTATGTTAGCTTTTTGCTTTTGCTTTAAGGAGTGAGATTCCTAAGTAACATTTCAATATTTATAACTGAAATTGGTGGAAACCGAATGACTATTGACTACTGTAAAGATGATGGATGTACCAGTCAGTGATGATGAGCTCTTAATGAGTTTTGGGAGAAAATGTTGGCTAAAGATTTTGCTGATAAAAATGAAAATCGTTTTTATGAGACTTTGGAAGGAAAAGGTAGGGCGAACTCCTTAGGGATAAAACTAACCATGTTTGACACATCCAAGTAGGGTGGCATAGTGACTTCTTTAGTAATTTTATTTAATCTGAAGTAGATGTGTAATAGTTATTGGCACCTCTAGCTGGCAAAGGACTTCATTCTGAGGAAGCAGACTAAGTGTTTTTAGGGATTAGATGGAATTTTAAACTTTATTGCTACGTGAATTTCTTGGTGCTCAGTGAAAACAATTAAATTAGAAGTTAGCATTTAAATTAGAACTTAACTGACCACTCATTGCCAAGGAGTGGTATGGGTACATCATGAAAGAGGCATGGGTACATGCCTTAATATTTTGTTGTTCTTCCCCACCCCCCCTTTTTTTTTTCTTTTCACTTTTTAAAGTGAAGTTAAGCTGTGTTGAAAAATTTCCAAGAATTTTGCTTTCCAAGAATGATTTTTTTGTTACCTTGTGTACTTTGTCAACCTGGGAGAAGTGGAGAACAATATACAATATAGTATAGTATAAAATAGAGTCCTGGTGTGATGTTGTGTGTTAATGCGCCAGACAGCAAAGCCGTTTGAATTACAAAGTCGGCGGTTCAAAGCTCACCAGCCGCTCCTCGGAAACCCTATACAGGGTCGCTCTGGGTCGGAACTGACTTGATGGCACTTAACAACAACAAAATATAATATAGTATAATATAAATATAAAACATAACGCCAGATAGGCCTACAACCCTAATTTCACACTAACTAAAAGTGATTCTTGCGTTGTAAGAACATTCTGGGTAAATATTCTGGAAATCATCCTATAAATTAATTTCCATAGCTGTCTGTAAAGAAATCCAATAAGATGTAGACTTCAGAAATAGATATTTGCTTGTCATTTTTGTAGTGAATACAGAGTTTGCTAACTGACATTTGTTTTTCTTACAGTGGATTAACTTTCATGATTTGTTTGTTGTCATCTTACCAACTTTAGGAAATTGCTTTTGGAATTTAAAGAAAATACAGGAAGAATTTCTTTTATGTGAAACTCCTACTCTTAACCCCCCATTGCCTCAGGAGAGACCAGAATAAATTGTATAGACATGCCAAAGGATAGTTATTGATTTACATTTTCTATAATTAAAAGATTTGGGTTTATTTTATTTGGTGTACTCTATAAATTGCAATTAAATTTTGTGAGTTTCTTACAGAAATAATAAAAGGTATGCTCTCAAACGCTTTTTTCTTTTGAGGTGAGGGAAGTTTGAAAATAGAAATTGTGTGAAAATAATTATGTAAGTCTTTTTAATATGTAATTTTTGAAATGGCAGAAATTAGTTATTTAGTAATGGTCACTCTTGTGTGTGTACGCGTCCTCTGAGTGTTTATTGTATGTATCATAATATTGGTCTGATAAAACTTGTAAATAATACTACATTAATAATCATGCAGAATTAGTACAAAGTGACGGGAAAGTGTCATCTCTTTTGCCTTTTTTGTAATAGATGGGTGGTGGTGTGTCAAGAATTCAGTTCCAACCCATAGTGACCCTGCATAGGGTTTCTGAGGCTGTAAATCTTTATGGGAGCAGAAAGCTTCAACATACTCCCGTGGAATGGCTGGTAGTTTCGAACAGCTGACCTTGAGGTTAGCCGCCCAACTCATAACCACTATGCTACCAGAGCTCCTTAATAGGTGGGGTGGGCTTTTGATATTTGTATTAGTGGTGCTGTTATCTCTAGAAAGCAGTATTAGCACATGTTGTTGTTGTCGTTAATTGTCGTAGAGTTGATTCCGACCCATAGTGACCCTGTATAGGGTTTCCAAGGAGCAGCTGGTGAGCTTGAACCACCAACCTTGCAATTCAAACGGCTTTGCAGTCTGATGCATTAGCCCACAGCGCCACACCAGGACTCCATATTAGCACATAGTTCTGTGTAAATAGTGACCTGCCTTTTCCCCAGCTGTGTCTAATGAAAATGTAGGATAAAGTTAACAACTGTAGACATTTGAATTTTCGCTATTTACTTCCATTTTAAGAGTTCTGAAAATTTTGAGTCCGAAGGGCCCTTACCTGTTTTACTTAAAAAACAAAACAACCCAGTGGAGGCTTAGAGCCTTGTATGTTTGTAAAAAGCATCCCTTGCTTGTGCTTACCTAGCAGGACATGAATGAAGCTTTGACAGTTACCTGGCTAAGTCACGCAATAACAACAAACACAACCACTCAACAATGGCAATTAATTGGAACACTTAGGCAAACACACACACACCCACTCACACATTGATAATTGTAATCAAATAATATCTGGTTAGATGAATTATGTTCTCTATCTCCCCCATGCCTTATTTTCTTTTCTCTTTGACTTTAAAAGGTTTTTTCACTTTAGATTTCAGTGACATTGTTCTGTAAGTCTAAATTTGAGTAAAATGCTTTTGAAAAATACGAATTCTTGGAAAGGGGAATTATATAATAAAGGTGGTATCATGATGTCTAGCCTCAAATTCATTCTACATTTCTGAGGTGTTCTGCAGATAGTTTGCACATCCAGTATTAAATATTCTAAACACTATGATTGGAGGTGCCATTCTGCAGGAAGAAACTCATCGCCTCCTGGTGTTGGCATCTTCAGACTGCTAACATGTTTGTAGAACACCCATTCTCTAATGAAAGCCATTAAAAAAACAAACCTTTCAACCGTAGGCTTAAGATTCAGCTTATGTTTTTTATTTCTTTTTTTAAAAAACTTGTTTTTATAAATCCAATGAAGGTTTACAGAACAGATCTTCAGTCCCACATTCAACATATCCTACACTTCATGTCATTACAATGATTACAATTTCTTCCCTGTACCATCCGTTAACAGTATTTACCTCTGTTCACTTTAACTCTTACATCTCTCCCTGTGTCTTCCACTACCTGCATCTTTCCTGTGCCAACCGCCCTATTGTATATTACCTTCCCCATCACCCAAGTTGACATGTGTCTACCCTCTACCCAATGAAGAGCTCTCCCCTCCCCCCATCATCGTAGAATGTTTCTTTTAGCAAGAAAGTGTTTTCTTAACTCTTTATAATAGTGGTTTCATAAAATGTTTGTGCTTTTGTGATTGAGC